ATGGTCTTTGGAGTCACACAAAAACTATGATCTTTGGGGTCACACAAAAACTATGATCTTTGGGGTCACACAAAAACTATGGTCTTTGGGGTCACACAAAAACGGTCCGACTAATTTCCCAAATGTAGCCGCAATGAAGTCAAATGATGGTCATACAAGCGTAAATCGGGCTGTGAATCACTTCTCGATTATTATTTGGTGTCATAAACTCACAAAAAATTAGTAAACTTAATTTAATCTGAGTTGTGTTGTGTTAGGTTAGGTTAGGTTAGGTTAGGTTAGGTTAGGTTAGGTTAGGTACGGTACATGCACTTGATCTATTAACTCAGATTAAATTAAGTTTACCAATTTTTTGTGACTTCGTGACACCAAATACCAGTCGAGAAGGGATTGGCAGTCCGATTTATTCATGTAGGACCATTATTTGACTTCATTGCGGCTACATTTGGGTAATTTCTCGCTTCCTCGGTACATGCACGCGATCTATTAACTCAAATTAAATTACGTTTTCCAATTTATTTTTTACTTTGTGACACCAAATACTAGTCGAGAAGTGATTGGTAACCCGATTTATTCATGTAGGACCATTATTTGACTTCATTGCGGCTACATTTGGGTACATTTGGGTAATTAGTCGGACCCCACAAAAACAATGATCTTTGGGGTCACACAAAAACTATGGTCTTTGGGGTCACACAAAAACTATGGTCTTTGGAGTGACAAAACTATGGTCTTTGGGGTCACAAAAACTATTGTCTTTGGGTTCGTTCACACACACACACACACACGCTTGTTTACGCCACCAATGATTCGCCAACAGATTACAGCATAGTCTTTTAGGGTCGTTATTCCCACTTATTCTAATAAATACTTACAATATTGCTTCATTATTACCAGTTAATCGTTAACATATAAAACAAGTTCTATTTCGGCAGTAATAACATAAATGTCCTAGAGTGGATAGAAGACTTTCTACATGACCGCAAGTGAAGTGCTTCCCCATCTGGAGTACTGTCACCCCATCTGGTCCCCGAGATATGCTAAGGACTGTCAGTTGGTTGAAAATGTTCAAAGGAGGGCCACCAGACTGGTGCCTGCACTTCGGCACCTCAGCTACCCTGAGAAATTGGAGCGCCTGAGCAAGAGATTAATGAGTAGGTTCCCAAGGTGCGTGATACCCAACCTCTAGGAGAAGGCAAGTTGTCATTCACTATCCACCAGGCTTCATCTTGGCCCCTGCCTCAAACTTCTGTTATTAATGAACGTGAACATCCCCAAATATAAAAAAGGGGGGGACCTAGTTGAGGTGTATAAGCATCTCAGGGGGCACTACTCAGTCGAGTGTCCTTACTTGGAGCTGGCGGACGCTCGCCCCACAAGGGGTCACAGCTCAGAGTGAAGAAGCCGCAGGTCCAGAAAACTGTGAGGGCAAACTTTTTCGGAGTGAGGGATGTAAACTCTTGGAACAATCTACCAGAGAGTGTTGTGACGGCACCGAGTGTGAGCTCTTTCAAGACAAGGCTTGACCAACACTGGAACAGGTTCAGGTACATTCAGGAGCCGGTGCATGTACAGTACTTGCCAACCAAGCGGACTGTGAAGAGCTGCAGAAGGACCTCTGTGGGCTCCAGGAATGGTCGAAGGAATGGCTGCTGAGATTCAATGTCACGAAGTGTAAGAGGATGCACCTGGGGCGTACCAACGGTAAGGAGGCGTACCATATGTCCCAACGGGATGAAGAAAATGTACTAGTTGAGACTGTGTGTGAGAAGGACCTAGGTGTGTATGTTGACAATGAGCTGAAGTTCTCGGGCCATTGTGAGAAGAAGGTAAATCAGGCAAATAAATTATTGGGTCTTATAAGAAGGTCGTTCAGATATCTAGACGGTCCGTCCCTCGTGACGATCTTCAGGAGTGAAGTGCTTCCCCATCTGGAGTACTGTCACCCCATCTGGTCCCCGAGATATGCTAGGGACTGTCAGTTGGTTGAAAATGTTCAAAGGAGGGCCACCAAGCTGGTGCCTGCACTTCGGCATCTCAGCTACCCTGCGAGATTGGAGCGCCTGAACTTGCCTAGCTTATACTACAGACGGGCAAGGGGGGACCTAGTTGAGGTTTATAAGCATCTCAGGGGGCACTACTCAGTTGAGTGTCCTTACTTGGAGCTGGCGGACGCTCGCCCCACAAGGGGTCACAGCTCAAGATTGAAGAAGCCGCAAGTCCGGAAAACCGTGAGGGCAAACTTTTTCGGAGTGAGGGTTGTAAACTCTTGGAACAATCTACCAGAAAGTGTTGTGACGGCACCGAGTGTGAGCTCTTTCAAGAGAAGACTTGACCAACACTGGAGCGGGTTCAGGTACATTCAGGAGCCGGTGCATGCCCAGTATTTGCCAACAGTGCGTGACAGAGACGTGACCGATCGCCCGGGCGGCTAGCGAGCCGACCTTTTGGTGAAGAATATAAAGGAAAAGAGTCGTGACCGATCGCCCAAGCGGCTAACAAGCCGATCAGTGGCGAAGAGGATAAAAGTAAAAGTAAAAGTAACAGTGCGTAACAGAGACGTGACCGATCGCCCAAGTGGCTAACGAGCCGATCAGTGGTGAAGAGGATAAAAGTTAAGTCATAATGGTGTTCTGGTCAAATTGTAGATATTACTGACTAGAGGTATTAACCGAGGAGGTGAGAATACAGTATTTAGTAAAGGTGTGAGAATCTTGACAAGTTGTATTTGAATGCTGGGATCAAGGAACATGAAGGCAGACTAGGATCACGGTTCCTCTATCAAGGAATAAGATATTGAAATTGAAATTAAAAATGTGAGGCGGAGGTTGAGTTGGTACATACAGTTGGCGAGGAAAACTATGACAATGGAAGTAGTAAAGAATGACGAGGTGGAACACATGGTATTGTATGTTTCATTTCTATCTTTTTATCCTCTTCACCACTGATCGACTCGTTAACCGCTTGGGCGATCGGTCACGTCTCTGTTACGCACTGTTGGCCAGTACTGGGCATGCACTGGCTCCTGAACATATTGGAACCTCACAGTTTTCTGGACTTGTGGCTTTTTCAACCTTGAGCTGTGACCCCTTGTGGAGCGGGCGTCCGTCAACTCCAGGTATGTACATTCGACTGAGTAGTGCCCCCTGAGATGTTTATAAACTTCGATTAGGTCGCCTCTTGCTCGTCTGTAGTATAAGCTAGGCAGTTGCAGGCGTTCTAATCTCTCAGGTTCCATAGAGCAGGCACCAGTCTGGTGACCCTCTTTTGGACATTTTCATTCAACTAACAGTCTCTAGCATACATCAGGGACCAGACGGGGTGACAGTACTGCAGACGGGGAAGCACCTCACTCTTGTAGATCGTGACGAGCGACGGACCATCCAGATATCTAAACCACTTTCTTATAAGACCTACTAGTTTCGTTGCCTGATTCACCTTCTCACAATGGCCTGAGAACTTAAGTTCATTATCGACATACACACCCAGGTCCGTTTCACATTCGGTCTCAATTAATGCAGTTTCTTAGTCCTGTTGGGACATGTGATACGCCCCCTTACTGCTGGTGCGACCCAGGTGCATCCTCTTGCACTTCGTGACATTGAATCTTAGCAGCCATTTCTTCTACCATTGTTGAAACTCATAGAGATCCTTCTGTAGCTCTTCATAATCTGTCTGGTCCTTAATTTCCCTAAATAACTTGGCATCGTCCGCAAACACTTGTATGGAGGAGTGTATAGCTTCTGGCATGTAATCTATGAAGCAAAGAAACATCAACGGGCCCAATACATTGCCCTGTGGTAACCTGCTTGTCACAGGTACACATGACGATTTCGTACCATTTATGACCACACACTGGGGTCATGCAGAAAGTCTCCGATCCACGCTAGGACACTTCCCCCGAATCCCATACCCTTCCAATTCAATTCTCAGCCTTTCATGGGGGACACTGTCGAAAACCTTGGCAAAATCTAGGTATATATTGCCGTTATTTCCGCCTTGTTCTGGAATTTTAATCCAAACATGCAGTACCTTGAGTAACAGTGTTAAGCAGGATCGTCCCTGCATAGAACCGTGTTGGTAGTAATTTACAAGGTCTATTAGAAGAGGATCGACCTTGACCACAGAGGCGTGAAGCTAATTACAGCGGCGTGAAGCTAACTACAGCGGAGTGAAGCTAACTACAGCGACGTGAAGCTAACTACAGCGGCGTGAAGCTAACTACAGCGGCGTGAAGCTAACTATAGCAGCGTGAAGCTAGCTACAACTTAGCTGTTCTGTCATCTTACCAGTAGCTCCGTAACTCCTCATAAGCGGCATCGAGTCTGTTTCTGTAAGAGGTGACGGAAGTGACATAACAAACACACACACACACACACACACACACACACACACACACCTTGGTAGACACAGAAAATTAATAACGTAATAAAGGTAAAATTTACCTTAGAGTGTTTATTAAATTAATTATATTAGACGTTAAAGATTGGCCTTGAGTGTTTAAAAAAACCGAGTATAAGTAAACACTGATAAAATAAAACTATGAAACAAAGCAACAAGTTATCAATAAAATGTGAACTGAAAGTCAATGAGGTTTTAAAATTTTCAAAGCATTGAGAGAGAAGTTCAAGTAATGGTTCTGGTCCAGGAAGAAGTTAAGATATCTCTTACCTAAACTAACCTAATCCAGCTTAGTTAACCTAACCTATCTAACTTACCATAACGCACCTAACCTAACTGCTCTAAGTATACTAACTTGTATTACAAAAAATAATCAAAGAAATAACTGGCACAGAACTGTAAAGTTATGGAGAGAGAGAGAGAGAGAGATGATAAGAGTTTAAATTCATCTCCCGCTACTACTGCCAACAAGTGATTTACACAACAAAACACCTTACCTTGGTCGCCCATGAGGGGTGGCAAGGTCGCCCGTGCCAGGAGTAAGAGAAGAGATAACGACGATACAATGACCAGGGTGAGACGTCAGGACGTTGCCTTACCTTGGCCCTCCATGTCAGGATTGGCAGGGTCGCCCTCCTTGAGATCAGTCTCACCCACAGAAGGTAAAGGTTTAGTGCCAAACAGCGAAGACTTCTCCTCCCGGGTAGCGTTCTTGAAGGGCATGTTGAGGGTGTTGGCCCATGCCTCCAGCCTCGAGTTGTTCCACATCATCACTATATACAGCACATACAGCACCAGCAAGAAAAGGCTCTCATACCTGGTGGGTAATGACACAGAGATAGTGACGGAAATAGTGACAGATATAGAGACTGGAAGATAGTGAGAGATAGTGACAGGGATAGCGTGAGAGGGAGATAGTGAGAAAGATGATGACATGGAGTGACGGAGATAGTGAGAAGATGGTGACATGGAGACATTGAGAGAGATAGTGTTTGTTTACAAGTTAGTCGGTTCATATTACGTCGCAGCGACCTTAATGTCGATGAATTCTCCCAGGCAACCACTCTCCCTCCCCGCTCTCCATCCCCGCTCTTTCTCTTACTCACTCACTCTTCCCCTCTCATTCTGCCTCAACATTCACTGTCCACTTTGTTTCACTGCTATAACTGTTTTTTCAACATTTCAACACACACACACACACACACACACACACACACACACACACACACACACACACACACACACACACACACACACACACACTATCTCCCTCTATCTCTCTTTCTTTTTTCGCAAAACGGGACTAAGATATGAAATCAAATACAAAGATGCAATAAATATTTAAGAAAAGGTGAAGGGGAGAAATAGCCTGGGGAGGAGGAGGGAAGGAGAGGGGAGAAGGAAGGAGAAAGAGGGGAGAAGGAAGGGGGGAGGGGAGAAGGAAGGAGGGAGAGAGAGGGAGTGGGGATGAGAGGACAGGGAGAGAGATAAGGGGGGAGGAATGACACAGAGAGGAGGGAGAGTCAGGGAAGGGGGTAGGGGGAAGGAGAAAGAGAGTGATCAAGCCACAGTGAGAGTGAGTGAGTGAGAGTGATAGAACGTACCAGGTCACTTCCTCATTGTATATGGTAAGGAGGAGAGCGCAGATAGCAATGCAGTAATAAGTGGAGTCCCTGATGAGCGGCCACCAGTTGATAGCGATCACTCGGCCAGCGAACAGGGCGCACACCGAGATGACGAACATGATATTGAACACTGCCGACCCGATCACCCCACTGATTCCGATGTCATCCTGTAGCGAGTAACAACAGGAAAGTGACAGTGGGAAATACATGCTAAGTGGCGGTGTGGGCGGGGGAATTACATGGTAAGTGGCGGCGTGGGCGGGGGAATTACATGGTAAGTGGCGGTCCGGACGGTGGAAATACATGGTAAGTGGTAGTGCGGAGGGGGAAGTACATAGGAAGTGACGGTGTGGAGGTGGAAAGTACATAGGAAGTGACGAAGTGAAGGTGGGAAGTGACGGTATGGAGGTGGGAAGTACATGGGAAGTAACTGTTATAAGTACATGACAAAGTACTGCACATAACAATAAGTAATGGAGGAATAGCGAGAACCAATCTTAACAAATATTCCCAGTTTTATAAGAACAAACTAACTAAAGAAGTAAGTCATTCACTAATTCATTAACTAACTAGCCAATTAATTAACTAACGAATCAATGAACTAGTGTGACCACCTGGGTTCTCGCCTCTCCTGTTAATAAGGATATTAATGGACACAACTTTAATAACCTCCGTCGGTGGGTCCGACCGGGTTCTCAAAGGTTGGTATACGTCAATAAAGAGGAATGGTGACGCACAAGGGTAAGGTGACAAAAAATCGTGTCCTTGGAAAAGATAAGTAAGTACACGGGGTGGAAGCCTCTACAGGAATAGACATTGTGTAAAGAGAGGCCAGACAGCTACAGGGAGCCTACAGGGTGATATGGGGCAAAAAAGAGAGAAACTCAGGGGGGAAATGTGTGTTGGAGAAGACAATGAAACTAAGAATCAAGTCCGCAGGGAGAAGACTGGTAAGAGGAAGGAGAGGGGGGGATGTAGGGCGGATGAGGGGAACGAAAGGACAAGGTCAGGGAAAAGAAAGGGCGAGAGAGGATAAGGTCAGGGGACACACACAAGGTGTACAGGAGAGAGACCTGGACCCTGTAGTATTAGGTAGTAACAAGGAAGGAGGGCGAAATGTTAAGTATAATAAACTGTACCCTCCGTAAACAACGTGTCAACTTACAAAAGCATAACGTTGTCGATGTATTGTGTACAGTTTACACCAGACGGCCGAGCATCCGTAAACACGACAGGAAAATATCTCCTACTCAGGAAAACAACGGCCACTCGACCCAGGGGAAATATGTCACTCTCGGTTCTTTAGACATCACAACAAAGTCATCTGGAAGCCGACCAGAATTAAATATCTTCTGGCTGTAGGGCTGAAAGTCACGTTTTAAAGTGACAAAGCTTCGACCAGTTTTGCCGAGGGAACGAAGGAGAGGGGCTTGGAAACATCTTAGGAAGAAAATCATATATAAAGTCACTTTCCCAGAAAAACTAGTTCTGACTTCAACAGATCGCTATTTTTACGTTAGGCTGAACTGATATTTAATTTAAAGCCACGATCCCGTCTAATTTGATATTCTATTTTTATACTATTTCCCTTTTAAAGATATATATATATATATATATATATATATATATATATATATATATATATATATATATATATATATATATATATATATATATATATATATATATATATAATTTTCCCCAAAGAGCCCCAAGTCATGATTGGAATGTAATTGGCGTCGGAGTAGGTTGTTATAGCAGGTGGTGAGGAGGTGGTGGTCAGGGAAATACTGTTACTTGTACAGATATATCTCAATAATCATTTCGAATTTAAAATTGAAATGCAGTGAAAAGACAAATATAGAGAAGAAAGACTAACCGGGAGAAAAGACAGAGAAAGAGACAGACAGATAATGTACGAGGAAGAATGAGAGGCAAATATGAAAACAGAGAGAGTAGACAGGTAGAGAGCGAGAGGGGATAGCCAGAGAAAGTAGAGACAGACAAAGAGAAAAGAGAGACAGAAAGACATAAAATTGGGCAGAAAAGGGATAAACGATAAACAGACAACAAGACATAGGAGCACCACGTCCACTCAGTATTCCTTGCTGGTCTTCTCTGGCACTTTAAGAGGCTTAACATTGTCTTACTCCAGTATAGGGAAGACCGCCTTGCTGCGTAGCTAGCATACTGATGATCACAGCCACCCTACACGACACTTCACTGCACGATTTATGACACGATACTACACGATGCGACATTACGCCGCGATGCTACACAACACAACGTGACTTCTGGTATACTGCCGCTCACCACCATCCTACACTATACGACATTATATACGACAATCCTACACGACACCTACTATACGACGCATTACAACCCTACATGACACGACAGGACACTATACTATACGACACGATACGACTCTGAGACACTATATTGTACGACTGAACCTGACATGACACTTTCTCACGTATCCCCATCACTCCCTAGCACCCTCCCCTCCTCTCCCTTACTCCCTCCTTCCCATCATATCCTTTACTCCCAGACTCTCCCTTCCTCCCACTCTCCCACACTTAGCTTTTTGGGAAGTTATCGAGCACTATAACTTCCGGAGGACTTATTAAAATTCGAACCCGGATCCGGAGCTTAATCTAGATTAACCTGACCTGACCTGATCTAATTTAGCCGAACCAAACTTAATTTACCATAGCCTTACCAAGCATAACATAGCTTAAACAAACAACCTAACCTACCCCAGCCCAAAACACAACACATCCGTCACAACAGGAGACACTATAACACAACACATCCGTCACATCAGGAGACACTATAACACAACACATCCGTCACAACAGGAGACACCATAACACAACACATCCGTCACAACAGGAGACACTATAACACAACACATCCGTCACAACAGGAGACACTATAACACAACACATCCGTCACAACAGGAGACACTATAACACAACACATCCGTCACAACAGCAGACACCATAACACAACACATCCGTCACAACAGGAGACACTATAACACAACACATCCGTCACAACAGCAGACATCATAACACAACACATCCGTCACATCAGGAGACACTATAACACAACACATCCGTCACAACAGCAGACATCATAACACAACACATCCGTCACATCAGGAGACACTATAACACAACACATCCGTCACAACAGGGGACACCATAACACAACACATCCGGCATACAGAACGATGGAAGAGTGTGGATAAGGCCGGTCACTGATCGGTGTCTAAAAGTAAATGATTCTGTTGGTCAATGTTAAACAGAATCTAACAACACAACCTCCTTTATGTTCAACTTACATATCTGCAGAAAGTCTCATTAAACTTTAACGTTGGCCGAAATCCCACTAAAATCTTAAAGCTGGAGCAGACTTTTAGGCAAAACAATATTAAATTTACCTTCTAAATCGCTATTACGAGAATGTTTACATGGCTGGAACTGTGTGGAGGAGGGTGGTGGTGAAGGAAGTGGTAGGTCATATAAAACCCAACCTACCAACACTGTTTACTTCAGCCTCCCTAATTAACTTTATGCAACATCTCGTGTCCCTCAGACATATAAACCTGCGAGTTTCCTCAATCTATTTCGCTCCAGCAAATGTTTAGCCGAGAAGCCTGAAAAACTCCATCAAAGTGTATACTGCCAACCCCTACCCACTTTAATCCAATTATTTAGTCAATCTAATGTATACTTTATACACTTGTTACATACATGTATATCCGACATACCAGCTATATCCCGCTACTCAATACTGTACTCGCTAACAACCAAGAAAACACACAGTTAAACCAATAGCCGTGACTACACATTACCGAAAACAATACACATTTCACTCATGAGCTGAAATATTGAGGAAGGATCCCGTAAATTTATTCAGCAGGCAAGGCACTAGTCAACTGGCACAGTTAACGGCTCACTAAGTGAGGCTGGTGTCAATAAGATGGTCAGTTTATATTCCATAAGAGTCCGCGGGCCGCGAGTCGTCCACACAGATAGTGAAACAAGTGACGGAAGTGTCTAGTGGGAGTTGTGTCTTTATAACAAAGACGATAATATTAATGTTAAACGGTATTATTGATACATATGATAATATTTAAATAATAAGAACGATGCTGGTGACACTGGTAATAACAAGTAGCAGACGAGAAGGAAAACAATATGTAAATGATGCTAGGTAATAATATAAACGTCAGACAAGTCATCATCCGTAGCCACAACTACAACAATAAGCCACAACTCGAGGGATTTAAAGGACAGTGTTTACGGTATGGTAAGGAGGACTAAGTCAATGTTGTCTCATTGTAATGACACTTATCTCTCTCAATTTCTATCTATTTATCTATATTCCTATCTATCTTGCATCATTGTTCCTGCCAGTCTTCCTCCCAGAGTTCCGCAACGCAAATTCTACGCAAAAATTAAGACGCCCGACATATACAAGCCAGCTGGCGTAATACTATGCAAACCTAGTTATCGGGAGGGATAACTGGGGCCACAAACCTAGTTATCGGGAGGGATAACTGGGGCCACAAACCTAGTTATCGGGAGCTAGTTATCGGGAGGGATAACTGGGGCCACAAACCCCTAGTTATCAGGAGAGAGGGATAACTGGGGCCACAAACCTAGTTATCCGGGAGAGGATAACAACTGGGGCCACAAGCCTAGTTAGCAGGGGAGGGATAACTGGGGCCACAAACCTAGTTATCAGGAGGGATAACTGGGGCCACAAACCTAGTTATCGGGAGGATAACTGGGGCACCTGGTTATCGGGAGGTGCTGGGGCCACAAACCTAGTTATCGGGAGGGATAACTGGGGCCACAACCTAGTTATGGGGAGAGAGATAACTGGGGCCCTGGAAGCCTGGTTATCGGGAGGATAACTGGGGCCACAAACCTAGTTATCAGGAGGATAACAGGGGCCACAAACTAAGTTATGGGGAGAGATAACTGGGGCCTCGGCCTAGTTATCAGGAGGAGGGATAACTGGGGCCTACAAACCTAGTTATCAGGGAGGGATAACTGGGGCCTAAACCTAGTTATGGGAGAGATAACTGGGGCCACAAACCTAGTTATGGGGAGAGATAACTGGGGCCACAAACCTAGTTATGGGGAGAGAT